TCATATTCTGACCTGAAGTAATTAAAGAAGGGAGGAAATGAACCTGGCACCTTCCAAACTATAGCATGCTACACCCAAAAGAAATGTATTCATTTTTTGCTCCTGATCTTTCAAAATATCAATAGGGCAAAATTTATCCCTATGGGGAGGGGTCAAGACCTGATCCCTGCATGATTTATGTGATATTTAAGTCTTAATGTCTCCCTGTGCAAAAATCAGCATGGAGTCTATTCATCATTTTAAATCTTGCTTGATTTCAAGGGTGCTTTGGCCTTGGGGTAAGGTGTGAGTAGAGGTGAATTTCACTTGGTGCATATGCAGATGATGGGGATATCTGGAGTGGGACTTGTATCACGTCTATGGGTATTGACAAGTACAGATTGGAATTTCTAGGTGGAGTATTATGTTAGCAGGATTGTGAAAAGGTTAATTAACCTCTGCAAACCTTTAAAAGTAGAATTAGTGTTTACTCAGGGTATCGCCAGACAAGACTATTAATGGCGTTGAGATCTTTGCATGGAGGGTCTTATAAGTGAGTCAGGTAGTTTGTACTTGCTGGTAGCTTGTTTTTTTTGTTGTTGCTCTTGGCTTTAATCCTCCTGTTTTGTTTCTTTTCATTTTATACTGACACTAGGTTTCCACGGGTTACCTGTATTTATTTTAGAGCGGAGAGCGGCAGATTGAAATGTCAGCAAAATTGATTATGCCCTTTGTAAATGTCAACCGCAGTGAAGATGAGCAGGACTCCTTCGTTCCGGTGATATTTGTCTAGGAGTGATTTGACTCCCCTCCTCACTCCTGTGTCCCATTGATCACTGTTTCCCCTCAAGCCTTTCTATTAAATCAGAGAGGTGGACTGGAGTTGCTTTATATAGAACTGGTCGCTATAGCTCAAGTGCATTGAAACAGGAATCATTTGTTGGCTGAGGAATGAGACTTGCTACAGAACACACTTCTACTAAGGTTTCTTGCCATACAGGACTTGTAGTAGAGGTGATATCTTTTATTAGACCAACTAGATTTTTGCAAATGCGATTCTTTAATTGCAAGCTTTTGGGCACTAACACCCTTCATCAGGTGTTGGAGAAAAGATTGTAAAAGTTCTCCTGGGTAGAAATGAAAGTTCATGTTTCATAGGTGGTGTTGAAGGTGTGATAAAATCTGTTTGGAAAAGTTCATTTTATATGCAGATTAGGCTCAGAGAAAAGTTGGAATCATCTGCTTACATCTGCTTGATAATGACCTTGTTCCTCTACTGAGGTTCGTAAGCATGGCTCTGGGGAGCTTTCAAATTCTTCCTGCCCTGCAACAGCCTTTTTTTTGTCACTTTGTCCAGTGGAATTTATTCTGGAGTGCAAAGGAGTCCCATTAAGACAGAAAGCGCTTTAATGGGGAAGTATAAATGTGATTTTTTTCTGTACAGCACCTAACCCAATATGACCTTGACCTTTGACTGGGTCCTTTACTTACTGAGGCAATATAGATAATCTCACCAAAATAGAAACCTCATTCAATAGTACAGGTATGAGAAAGCCCAAAGCAGTTTGATTAATTTGGATACAAGGAAAAACTTCACGGTTTGTGCGAGCAGACTGCAAGAGACTCCCAGCGGTGGTGATGCAGGCCCCTACCCTGGACATCTTCAAAAGGAGACTGGATGTGCACCTTGCTGGTGTAATTTGGGTCTTTCCTGCCCCAAGCAGGGGGGCTGGACCCAATGATCTCCTGAGGTCCCTTCCAGCTCTATACTCCGGTGAATCTGTGAATTCCTCTGCCTTTGGTTTATTGCTGTTATTTAGTTGCACCATCAAGGAAATAATCTCCCTCACCCATTCAAACTCTGTGCTCATGTACCCTGGAAATGAGGTGGAAAAGGTGTCTGGGATTGTAGCACATTCAAAAATGATGGCATGGGGCACATCCAGGGTGTTACCACCTCCTGCCTGGAACGGGAAGTGGAGTGGGGCTTATTTTCTGAATGGTCTGTCTGCCACCAATAGTTCAAAACTACCCCCAGTAATGATCACAATCAAGGAGTTCATCTTGATCTGTGCACGGGCAAAAAGGGTAGCAATCTAGGGGAGAGGAGTTAGGATCTTTGGGGGAGAGAGCGATCTGGCAAACGATTTGAAAAAGAATAGACAGCAAAATGGGAACATTAAGTGTTTGTAATTATAACAGAGATGAGGCTTGAATGATGTTTTAGTTGTTCGTGTTGATATAGATTTGAGTCTGTGGAAGGAGTACATTCAAGGTTGCGTGTCTCTAGCATTGAATCCGCATAGTGCTCTTTTGGAGATTCGGAATGACATTTCTCCCTTCACTTAACCTCTGTGCATCTCAATTCCCCTAGGCTAGCAACACCCGTTGCATTTTTCCCTGGATAAGTTGCGCCAGTGTTTGTCCCGGAACAAATATATCCTAGGCTCGGCGTTTACAAACATCACCCTTCAGAGCAGCTGAATGCAGTGCCACTTTCCTGCCATTGATTCAGTGCCTCAATCTTGGGATAACTGCACAGATGTCCTTTGCAATATCCCAGGATAAATTACTGCTACCTCTTATCGGGGAAACTTTTCTAGGATGTATACCAGCACAACAGACAGGGCCATCTGTACAATGGCACTACATCCCAGGATAAAATGGTTTATTTGGGGATAATGTGACATCCATTTGCAGCCCCAGATTCCAAGCCAATCCCTTGTTCATGCTTAGTTAGGAGCTGTAAAGCACAGCTACGTGGTATGCAAGCGCTAGAGGTGTCTGCATCCCCCCCGTTTGCACTGTAGCCATGGTCCTACATGACCACAGAGGTGGCTAAGGAGTAGGGGAATTAGGGCAACTAGTTGTAAATCCGAAGCATCCAGCTAGCCTCGGCTTGGAGGAGCAGAGGCTGCTCTGGTCTTACACACTCAGATTCAGCTGTGGTGCACAGAGCCTTTTTTTTAACAGCTGTCATGACCAGAGGTAGAACATGATGCAGGGCAAAGCACAAAAGAAGTGCAAGTTGGCAACAGCTGTGGCTGGTCTGATTTGAGATTGAACCCAAGAACACATGCCGCTTGCAAAAAACAGCAAGACACACCACACTCATTTTCTTTCTGTTGTTACTTTACTATTGTTGTTCTTGGTCTGCTTGGAGACAGATATGGCTAGCAGGGTTTGGGGAGATGTAGGAGAACTTGCATTGACCTTAACCCAGAAGATGTGAAGGCAAAGAAGCTGAAGACTTTCCCTTTGTTTTATCTGACAGGTTGCTGAGCTATGCCAGCACCTTGCTGGATCCTGAGGCTAAACTAGAGATATCTGAGAAACCTATTATTTATCCAACATGCCAGCTGGGCCTATGGGAAGTAAAGGGAGAAAGCAGAGAAGGGAGATGAGGTTTCAAAATATCAGCTGCAGGCTGTATGGATGCCCCTGGCATCACACAGACAATGCAGTATCAACCTTTTTCGGATGTATACCAGGACAACAGACAGGGCCAGCTGTATAATGGTGCTACATCCTAGGATTAAATGGTTTATTTTGAGAAAATACTTCAAACAAAAAGATCTCCAGGCAATAAACATTAACCGTGTCCTTGCCACCCTCCACTGCTTAACTAGACCCAACGTCTGGCGCAGTCGGGAAACGCCAACGTCAGCTTGCATTTTTTGTTCAGCTTGACAGGACATTTTGCGATGGGGCGGTCTTCCCGAAGCGTGCCCTGAATTGTGTGTGTTTGCTGTTTATTACCTTTCCTTGCAACCGTTTTTAATGAGTATTCATTGTTTGCCCTACACTAATGCACAGAGATCCCACTGGGATCATCCCAGTGAAGCCCGGTGCTGTGTTGTACCTGGGGCTCTACAAAGGGTAAGGGACATTTCCTGTTTCATAATCTAAATAGATGAAAACGGAGTGGGGGGAAAAAAAAGAAAGGTGTAGAAAGGGAAAATAGTTTGCACAAAGCCAAGTCTCCTCCCCTACCTGCTCCGTAGAAGGGTTTTTTTCTGCTCAGCGACTGATGTTCTTCCATTATCTCCGACGTTTGTCTCTGTAGAAGAAACTGCATCGCTGATGGTTGTATCGGGCTGTTTCCCTAGCACCGTTTTGGGACGGCCGGTGATGCTCTTGCATTTGGTAGCCACAAAATGCAGCAATCCAGCTGCATTCGCATGCAACCAGCTGAGCTATGGGAAGGTTGCAGACATTTGGCCGCCGTTGAACCTGTTGGCTACTGAGCTGACAGCCAAGGGCCACCTCTCCTTCATCGCTGGACCCCTGGCAGGTGCCAGCCATTGGGAGGCAATGGGGTCAAAGGAAGACGAGTAGTTAGGACAGTGGTATAAGCTGGTGTCAGGGCTCCCTTCCTTCCTCCGCTACGTTACCTACTCCTACTTTGTTGGGAGCTGGGGTCAAAAATCCCCATCGCGCACCCGCGTGGGGGACCAGAGTGTGAAGGGAAAGCGCCGTGCAAACCAGCCACGAAGACGTTTCACAGGTGATGTGGAATCTCTTTGTGGCTGGTTAGCCATGTCGCTCCAGCAAGGGATTGGTTTTAACAGGCCGCGGGTTCGCTTTCTCGCACGACTCGCACGTGAATGGCGTGAGATACGTTAACGCCCGTCAGGCCATCGCAACTCCCGCCAAATGCTGCACGGGGAGACGTGCAGGCACCCCTGTGAGGGCAGCTCGGTCCCTGGGGCGTCCCCTTGCACCCAGGCCTGGGCAGGTGGGAGCACCCCGGGTGGTTGCCTTGACAACGCGGCCATGAGGCCACCCAGCCTAAGAGGGTGCATGAGGGGGCGGGGCTACCGGCTCCTAATTCCCGCCTAGCAGTCCTGCGCCTGCGCACAACCCCACCTCCTCCGTTTGCCCTTCGTCTGCCACCACCGCTTCACACTGCGCCTGCGCACCTGACTATGCGCCTCACCGTCTCTGGTATGCGCTTGCGCACTCTAGGCTGGGCGCGCGCCACACTGCGCCTGCGCCGCGCGCCTCTCTGGGGTGGGGCCCGGAGGCCACGCCCCCTCCCTTCCCCACCCCGGGAGCCGCCCCGGCCCGGCCCGACCCGACCCGAGGGACTCGCTCCGGCGGCGGCCATGGAGGTAGGGTCCCGGGCCGGGATCGTGACCCTCTGTCCGCAACCCACCCTATGGCCTAGGGGGGCCCTCGATCCTTTCAGGGGTGCCGCGAGATCCTGTCCAGGGTGCCGTGGGGGGCCCGGGGATCCTTCCAGGGGGTCTGAGATCTTGTCAGGGGTGCCGCGGGGTGCCTCCAGACCGTCAGGGGTGCCGCGGGGTGCCCCAAATCGTGTCCAGGGCCCGCGGGGTGCCCCGAGACCCTGTCGGGGTGCTGCGGAGTGCCGTAAGACCCTGTCAGGGGTGCCGCGGGGTGCCCCAAAATTGTGTCCAGGGCCCGTGGGTTGCCCCCAGACCCTGTCGGGGTGCTGCGGAGTGCCGTAAGACCCTGTCAGGGGTGCCCCAAGGTGGTGCCCAGGGCCCGCGGGGTGCCCCGCCTTGTCTTCTGGGCCCCCAGTAGCTCTTGCATGTGAGCTGCTTTCTTGCTTGTTTTAAACTATAGGATTATTTTTTCTCCTTGCACGTTGTACGATTTGTGAATTAGATGGTCTTTTTTTAATGAATGAAGAGGCTACACCAGAAGTTGGTCTGAGCAGAAGTCTGTTTTGTCGACTTGGAGGAATCGGGGAATTTTCTTTTTTTCCTGACGTCCTTCCAAAAGATGTTCTTTATCCTTTCCAGATGCCGGATGTAATGAGGCAAAGTAAAGTTGCAGAACTGAAGAACTTCCACTGCAATTCTAAGGTAAAGTATGTAGAGCATTGACGTCGCTCTTATTGCTTGCAACGCATTTTGTACAAATGTCCAGACCAGGGTCCCCAAACTGTGGTACGTGTATCCCTTGGGGTACGCAAGACAGCTTTGCGGGGGGGGCACACAGAAGAAATTGCACAATGGCAGATTTAATTTTCGTTATAATATCATTTAAGGGGTTAAAATATAAAATGTATGCTGGTAGGGGATATGGGGGCAGCTGGTGAATCACAAAGTGGGTACGTGATAAGAAAAAGTTTGGAAACCCTTGTAAGTCCTATGAAGATGTGTATTCTCGGTTCAGGGGGGAATTTGGTCCATAAGGCCCCCTCTACTTGTGCAGGTAAAGACTCAATGGGAGCTAATGAAGGATCCACACAGTCACAACACCTGCCCTGCCACATGTGAAAGGCAGGAGGCACGATTGTGGGATTGTGCATTAGGTCCCAACCTGCCTTGTTGCCGATGCAGGGAGAGCCCGATTCCAGTCTCCCCTTGCACCAGCAAGAAACAAGTTTCTGTGGCAGGAAGCCCCCTCAGCTGGCGCAGTCTCCCAGCTTTAGGGGTGCCACGCATCTGCAGGGCTGGTAGATCATAGCTGTGCCTCATGGCTGCTGGGACCCAGGGGGGTCCCCTTGCAGCCGATCGCCGAGCTGGGCAGATGCAGGGGAGGGCTGGGGGGCAGCGCGCTCCCAGGCAGACCCGGAAGCAGACCGGAAGTATTTCCAGTCCACTTTAGGGTTTGCCGCTGAGCACGTGGATGGCCCCCACCCCTGCACTTCAGTGGGATGCTCAACGTGCTCCAGCATTGCAGCGTTCACAAGCCATGCCTGCTACCTCAACGTACGTAGAAAAAAACTTAAAGCTGTGTCTGTCTTAATTGCTGATTATCCGAATCGGCGTTGAATCTTCAGATTCAGAATCGTCCAAATTGAAACAGGGGCAGTGATCCGAATCAACGAATCAAATCGCTGTCCCTCATTCGGGCTGAATCTGAATCTGAATCGAATAGGGCCCGCTTCTCGCACCCCTACTACTTGGCGTGTGTAGCTGCTCTTCAGGTGATGGTGCAGGTAACCAGTTCATTATGCGGTACCTGTAACTTGTGGAGGGGACTATATGTACATACAGCTTAATTGTTCTTTAACACCTTCAGAAATCAGTCTGGCTCCTTTTACATCTGTTGCTGTTCTTTGCATTTCTTCCACTTTCTCAGTATCTTTCTCGTAACAAAGTGTCCAAAATCAGAGGCACATTTTAGTTGACAACCCATCCAAAAAAAATGCCTAGAGGGCTGTTTTCTCCCAGAACCTCTACTGAAGTTATCCTGGACATTAGGCATATAAATGCATGCTACCTTTGCTGCCTAACTTGTTAATGGTATTCTTAACCAACCTTTTTTTTCATTGTTTGTTTCTGTCTGAACCTGATAAACTTGTTAGGCAAGGCACACTTTGTTTTTTATTTAGTTGACTTTTGGGTGATTTTTGAGTTGACAGTGGTTCTTCTTCCTTGATGGACTTGAAGAATCTGTGTGTTTGTTGCAAGAGAAAAACCTCTTGTCCTTCATGCTTTTACATGGTGGTAGTTTTATGGTCAAACCATTCTGTAAATAAAACCGACCTGCTGTCATATGGGTATTGACTTAAAGGGAACAAACCTGCCTGGATGTGCTACAGCGCAGATGAGCTCTCTTATCTTTATTGACTGAGTGGAGACTCTAAACAACCCAGACTGGAGAGACACATCACTAAGTGCCAAGGCAGTAGAGTTTGAGTTGGCTTTTTAATGATTTTCTGATTTAACGTGTCTTGGTACCGTTACCACATCCAATTCTGTCACAAGTTCAGCTGCTTTGGAAAAAAAAATATAAAAAATAAGTATCTTGTAGCTCTGGTATTTGAAATATTTCTTGATTGAAAGTTAGCAGGATGTAAGATTGCTGGTAAGGAAATATGTTAGATAGCCTTATTTCCGTAAGTAAGAAATGTCATATCTGATCATTTTTGGCCAGTCTCTTAAGAGCAGGAAAAATTCTTATCTTGTAGTTGTATGAAATAAAAAAATCCACTTCCTAGAAAGCGTTCACCTCTGAGTATTTTTCAGTAATATGAAAAGATAATCTGAAAGATTCTTGCTTTGACTGGCTGTCGAAAGAAATTTGTCCTCTATATTTTTTCCTTCAATTTAAATAACTTAACCTTCTGCCCTGAGGGTCAGAGAAACTGATTTGCTTAAGTCAATTTAAGTGTAATTATGGTTGTCTTCCCCTTCTGAAATAACATATCTCTGGAGCACCAAAGTAATTTTGCAATGGAGTTTGGCTTGAAACAGGATGGACATTGCTTTCGACTGGAATTCCATTGCCCTTGATCAGCAGCAAAAAGCAGCCTTTTTGTTAGCCTGTTGCAATTATTTTCTTGAAGGAAGAGTGCAAGAGTCCCCCTTCTTCCTTCAAGAAAGTAAGTTCAATACACTTAAGGTTACCATATTTCCAGTTCCAAAAAAGAGGATACCTGTCGGGAGGATACCTCACTCCCAACTCATAGCCCCCTGGTCCTGGCAGTGCCCCTCACTCCCGACCTGCAAACTCCTGGCCCTGCCGGAGCCTCTAGCTCCACACCTACAGTCCCTTGCCTCCCTGGGCTAAGCTGGTGCCCCTTAGTCCCCCATCCCTGCTGCTGGCCCTCATTCCTGACCTGCAGACACCTGGCCGTGCCAGTGCCCCTCACTCCTGATCCAGTCCCTCATTTCCCCTGGGTCACTCACTCCCAAGCTGCAGCCCCCTGGCACTGCAGGTGCCCTGCACTCCTGACCCATAGCTTGCACCCCCCAACCCTGCTGGTGCCCCTTACTCCCAACTGGCAGCCCCATGCCCAACCCTGCTGCTGCCCCTCACTCCCAACCTAGACACCTGGCCCTGCTAGTGCCCCTCTCCCAATCTACAGTCCCTTGTTTCCCACCCCCCGGCCACTGACTCCTGAGCTGCAGCCCCCTGCCGCTGCTGGTGCCCTGCACTCCTGACCTACAGCTGCTGCCCCCCCCCCCCCCCCCCCGCCCCCCCCCCCCCCCCCAGCCCTGCCAGTGCCCCTCACACCCAACCCACAGCCCCCTGTCCCCCTAGCCCTGCTGGTGTCCCCCACTACCAACCTGCAGCCTTCTCCTCCCCCCAGCCCTGCCAGAGAGGGCCCCCGGCTGCTCCCGACTGGGCTGGAGCTTGGCAGCTCCAATTTGTGTGGGCGATGGGGAAGCGGTGCCAGCTGGAGGGAAGAGGAGAGGATGCCTGTGGCATCCCCTACCCTCCGCGGAGGCTTCAGCACCATGCCAGGCACTCTGGCCATGTCCCCACTTCCTCCCTGCCAGGCAGTGTCTGCTGGGGCCCCCTGGCCCGCATAAGCACAGGTGCCGGCCCGGCCACGGAGCTCCCCACTGCCCTCAAAGGGCCCCCCGCACCTTCCCCCACTGGAGGGGCAGCCGCCTCCCCTGCCCCACTGCAGCCCCAGCACCGCCCCTGCCTCCAATTGCCCTCCCCTCCTGCTCCTGCCAGCGAAACAGAACAAAATCCTGGACATTGGTTTCTATTTCACCCGGACAAAGATAGGAGGACTCAAAAAAAACCCAAAAGGGCATGTCTGGGAAAACCCAGATGTATGATAACCCTAAATACACTGACACATGGTTTTCAATGCACAAAGCAGTTTATATCCTATTAGAATTGGATTGTAATCCCATAGAAGGTTTCCACGTGGTGTTTTCTTTTAATTATTCTTTTGTTCTTCAATTATACTGCCATGCCCTTTCATCCTTATTATTGATTTTTAATTGAATGCAGTCAGGCCATTGGCTTTTCCACTTCCCCCACCTCTTTTTCCCCTTACAAACAAGTGAACTGGATCATTTCCACTCTTATTTTTTAAGTCATTTCAAGTCTGCTTTGTGCATGCTTTGGACTAATAAAATTATCTGGTGCAATTCTGGTAACCTTATTTTGCTATCATATCTGTCCAGTGGAGATGATGAGTCTTCCCTACTGTGCGAGTGGTCTGAGAAACAGCCGGTTTCTTTAAACATCTGTACAAGTGCCTATCTTAAATATAAGTACATCTTATCAAGAGGAAAAAATGCTGCTTAATATTTATACTACACAAAAGCTACCTTCTCCTAATAGGGTTTTTTAAATCTTGTCTTCTGTCGCATTAATGTTCTTTACTGTCCAAACATGGCTAATTATGCGCACAAAGCGAATTGGGAGTGGGTGGAATCCGATCTTTCTGCTAGCTTGCAGTGTGAGATCCACCCAGTGCTGGAAGGCCTGACTCAGCACCCACAGAAACCCCACGGTTATCTTCCCAGAAAAGTGGGTAGGTGAGCAATCATTTGATGGTTATCTGCAGCCTGTGCATGCAGGGGAGATGGCTTGTTCAAAATCAGAGCAGAGGCAGTTACAGGGGACAGGTCCAAAGAGCAACCTCTGGACCCATTTCTGCAGAGAAGCTGTGGCTCCGTATCCCTGCATCAGGAATCTGGAGGGCCAAGGCTGTTGTTGGAAAGTGCACAGTGCCGAGGTAATGCTCGTGGCAGGCTAAGTTGTAGTTTTAATCTATTTTAGCTTTCCTTGAAGTCTAACCACTTGAACTTTGTGTTTAATTTTTCAGAATATTGTAATCTTACAAAGATGCGGCGATAAAGAGGGGTGTTCTTTTATATTTCATCTTTGTCTTGGGGAAAGACTGCCATAACCCAAATTAGCTGTGATGGCTAGGTAATCTTTACTGACCCACGGGAAACTTTATCACTGCTTCATTTGTCAAATGCCCGATATAAATACGTGGTCAGAATCTGAAACCGATTTCTTTATTGAACTGATCTCTTTCGCTGAAGCAGTTGCCGTGCAGAGCAAGATGCTCAATTTGACACGATGCTGGAAAGACCACTATGACTATTCCCGGGGCTGCTTTCTCTCTGAACTCGTGCAGCTCTTTTGGCTGCTGGCAGTGCGCTGTGCTTCAGAGTTGACATAATTGTTGGTGTTGTTTGCAATGAGGCAGCATTAAACTTGCTGATCTTGGCATGCCCCAGCAGGATCCCTGCCTGCCACATGAGTTGTGTCTGACCGTCGCAGCCGTGCGTCGTGATATACTCTGTGGAGGCTGGTCCAGGGCCGCTGTGCAGCTGAGCATTGGGAGGAGATTTTGGCTGGACTTTGTTGGCCAAAACTTTAATGCTAGATGCCTGAAGTTAAACTCTCATGTATCCAAATATGGATTTAACTCGATGTGGCTTGACTGTCAAAAGTTCTGAGCATGCTCAACCCCACTTGAAGGCTTTGGGAGTTGAAGGGGTTCAGCACCTTGGCAGGTTGAGCTGCTTTTAATTGGGTGTCTGTGTGTATTTTGCAGGCCTGCAGTCCAAATGTTGGAGTCATAATCTTGGCCTTTGTAAAATAACCCAAATCCTGGGAAGAAAAGGCTTTAGCCCTGCTCAGAAGGTGCAGGGTATTCCTCGTATGTCTAGGGAGAGTCTTTTACTTGGTGCTGTTTAGCCAGCAGAAGCAGATTCAGGATTTTCAAGCCCTGATTAGCAAGGTTTGATGAAGGGTTACAGTGGGCTGCAGTTGTGGGTGAAGAAGTCTCCTTATTTGGGTTTTTGGATGGAGGAGTCTCCTTACTTGATTTTTCAGAGGTTCAGGGAATTTTGTAATTTGTGTATATATGTATATAACACATATTTATAAGTACTCGCTGCCGTGGGCTGAGAATATACTGTGCTGTCGGTGTTTGTTCTTGGAAATGGTTTCCAAGTAGTGAACTTCTGGGTGTTGGTTTTGGGATCTGTCAGCCCCAAACGGTGTGGGACCATTCCTCTTCCCCTTCCCCCCTCGTGACCGCAACAGTGGATATTATCTCAGTCAATTTACTGTTGGTTACCAGGGATGAAATTGGGATCAGGGTCCTTCTTTTCAGTAGACGATCTCTGGGGTCCTGGGATCTTGTTTGCATTTGTCACCGTGGAAATCTCTGCACATCAATGCCACAGTTTTAAAATGGGACTAATACTGTTTTCTACCTTGCCTTTGGATTGTACAGCTGTCAGCACAGGGACTGCCTTTTGCCACATGTTTGTACAGAGCCTAACACACAAGAGGTCAAAGCCCTATTGGAGCCTGCAGGCCCCGCTGAAATACATACAGCAAAGCTAGGAAGACTTGTGAATCCAAATATGCTTTTGTTTCTTTTCAGCTACAGAATAATCTTACTTCCAGTCCTGTTGTCGAGGCAAATGGTGGTCTGGCTCTCTATTCAAACTCCCTTTGTGCAGTGAAGTCACTCCAACACAGACCAGGTATTTACTTCCTCTGCTTAAGTCTCATAAATATTGGTCTCCGTCACTGATGTGTCATAGTTTCATAGTTTCATAGTTTCAGGGTCGGAAGGGACCTAATAGATCTTCTAGCCCGACCCCCCGCCAGGGCGGGAGAACAACCCAAAAACACAAACAAAACCACTCACCCTAAAAACAAAAACGGGACTCAAATGAGTCCAGCCAGGTAAGTATCCAGCCTCTTCTTAAAGATCCCCAGGGTAGGGGCCAGCACCACCTCCCTTGGAAGTTGGTTCCAGCTCCTAGCCGCCCTGACTGTGAAGTAGTTTTTTCGGATGTCCAATCTGTACCTCCTCTCCATCAACTTGTGCCCATTATTCCTTGTTATGCCAGCAGGGGCTAGGGGAAACAGCGTCTCCCCCAAACCCTTCTGGTTCCCCCTAGTGAGTTTATAGACGGTCACCAGGTCCCCCCTCAGCCTTCTCTTGTGGAGGCTGAATAGGTTCAAGTCCCGCAGTCTCTCACTGTAGGGTCTGCCCTGTTGTCCCCGGATCATGCGGGTGGCCCTCCTCTGGACCCTCTCCATGTTGTCCACATCCCTCCTGAAATGGGGCGCACAGAACTGGACACAATACTCCAGCTGCGGCCTGACCAGCGTCGCATAGAGGGGGAGGATCACCTCCCTGGCTCTACTCGAGATGCACCTGTGGATGCACGACAAGGTCCGGTTAGCCCTGCCAACCATGACCTCGCATTGTCGGCCCATGTTCATCTTGGAGTCAATAATGACACCAAGATCCCTTTCCGCCTCCGTGCTCTCAAGTAGGGAGCTCCCCATCTTATAAGTGTGCTGCTGGTTCCTACTACCCAAGTGCAGCACCCTGCACTTGTCCGTATTGAAACGCATCCTGTTCCTGTCTGCCCACCCCTGTAACCTATCCAGATCCTTCTGCAATCTCTCTCTCCCTGCTAGCGTGCTCACCTCCCCCCAAATTTTGGTGTCATCAGCGAATTTAAACAGGTTGCTCTCCACCCCAACATCAAGATCGCTGATGAAGACATTGAACAGCGCAGGGCCCAGGACCGAGCCCTGAGGGACTCCACTACCCACCTCCCCCCAAGTCGAATATGATCCATCCACCACCACCCTCTGAGTGCGACCCTTCAGCCAATCTGCAATCCATCTGACCGTGTAGGCATCTATGCCACAGTCGCCTAGTTTACTAATTAGGATGGGGTGAGAGACGGTGTCAAAGGCCTTGCTGAAGTCCAGAAAGACTACATCCACCGCGACACCTGCATCCATGGCCTTTGTGACCTGATCATAAAAGGCAATCAGGTTGGTCTGACATGATCTCCCCCTAATAAATCCATGCTGATTGCCCCTGAGCATCATCTCGGATGCCGGCCCATCACAAATGTGCTCCTTGATGATCTTCTCAAAGAGCTTCCCCAGGATTGAGGTAAGACTGACGGGCCTATAATTGCCCGGGTCCTCCCTTTTCCCTTTTTTGAAGATGGGGACCACATTAGCTACCTTCCAATCGTCTGGCACCTGGCCCAAGCACCACGATCGCTCGTAGAGCCGTGCCAGGGGCCCTGCAATAACCCCAGCCAGCTCCCTCAGCACCCTGGGGTGGAGAGCATCCGGACCCGCTGACTTGAACGCGTCCAGCCCCTCCAGAAGCTCTCTAACCCGGTCCTCCCCAACCTGAGGTCTGAAGGCGATCCCCTCGCGTCCGGCTTCTATCACAGCAGGGAAGTCCCGGTCCCTGCACAAGAAAACGGAGGTGAAGAATTGGTTAAAGAGGTCCGCTTTATCCTCTGACGCAACCACCAGATTGCCCCGCATATCCTGCAGGGGCCCCACATTACCCGGCGCCTTCTTCATCCTCCCAATATATTTGAAAAAGGACTTTTTGTTATCCTTAATCCTGGACGCTAATCCGAGCTCTATCTCCGCCTTGGCCTTCCTAACAGCCCGCCTGCAGGCCCGAGCAGAGGAGGTATACTCCTCTTTGGAGATTACACCCCCCTTCCACCGGGCGTACGCCACCCTTTTGGCAAGCAGGCATTCCCGGACACCCTTGGTGAGCCAGGGGGGCTTTTGGACACTCCTGCCCGCCTTGCTTCTTGTCGGGATGGACACCCCTTGGGCCCCGAGTATCGTTTCCTTAAGGAACGACCACTCCTCTTGGACGCTGAGTTCCTCTGCCCTCAAGGACCCCAGTTCCTCTCCCACTAATCTCCTCATCTCACTGAAGTTGGCCCTCCTGAAGTCTAGGGCCACCACCTTGCTGCGGGCCCTTGACACTCTACGCTGGATGGTGAATTCCAGCACGCGATGATCACTATTGCCCAGGTGGTCAAGAACCTGGAGGCCTCTTACCAGGTCGTCGCCTGCGGCCAGGACCAGGTCCAGCAGAGCATCTCCTCTGGTGGGACTGTGCACCTCCTGAATCAAGTGGAGGTCCTGCAACTCGGCCAAGAACCTCCTGGAGCGGTCCGTCCCGGCTGACTGCTCCTCCCAGCAGATGTCCGGGTAATTAAAATCGCCCATGACAACTACATCCCTTGCTTTTAGTGTCTCTGCAAGCTGGCCTGAAAATTCCCTGTCCAGCTCCTCCTCCTGATTGGGGGGTCTGTAATAGACCCCCACCGTCAAATCCCTCTCGCCTTGCCCCCCCTGGATCTTGACCCAGAGCACTTCAGCTCGCCCTTCCCCTGACCCCATACTGCTGGCAGAGGATGTGTAGTGCTCCTTGACATAAAGTGCCACCCCCCCCCCTTTTCTGCCTTCTCTATCCCGCCTGTACAGCCTATAGCCCCTAATGTTAACTGCCCAGTCATGGGATGAGTCCCACCATGTCTCTGTTAACCCTACGACATCTGGATTTGAACTAGCTATTCTGAGGGCGAGTTCCTCCTGTTTGTTCCCCATGCTACATGTCCAGGTGACCTCCAGCTGTTTCCAACCAGGTGAAGAGTTTTTTGGTTTTGTTGGGTTTTGGCATTTTACACACGATGAGGAGAATACTCGTTTGTGGAAAGCGAGGTTAGAAGTTGATATGCAGACAGATAAATATTTCACTTTAAAAGTGGCAGGGGAAGCTACCCTGGTTCACCTGAATCTTTTGCAACCATTTTGTCTATCCACACCTTTTCTGCATGGCATTGAAGCAGAACTGCAATCATTTCTCCCAAATTAAAACAGGTGGCTAATTTTTGCAGCTTTTATTTTTGCTTTACTGCAAGATAGCAATGGATGGACGAGAACGGTTACAGTGGAGTAGCTGACATGCACTTGTGGGCAGTAAGTCTGCTTCTCTGCTCAGTCATTTTCAAGTGCTCTTAAGGAAAGAAAGTTTTCTCACATAGTATAATTTCTGCATATTTTTAAAGGGGTCACTTTTCCTAGGGTTTGAGTGATTTTTTTGGGGTGGGATTGTTTTAAACTATAGGGCTTTGCATCATTGTAAATGTATTGCATTGTATTCTGCCCGCAGAGAAGCCTGTGGTTATTTGCTGTTTTGGTAGTAGGTTGATGATCTTGTTCTTTCTTTAGTATTTACGATCTTTTTCCTGTGGCATATGGATTCGTTTGGGCCAAAGTGGCTGCTGTGAGGGGTCATTGTAGCAGAGGTGGGACTTCTTTGAGGTACCCAGAACCCATCCCTTGGGTTTTTTCAGTACCACGCAGGTTAAGTGTTAGCTTTTACTACCGATTTACTTCTATATGCAGAAGACCCTATACTAGCAATATGTGGGACTTGAAAGAATTGCTGTTCGTAAAGCATACTCTCCTTAGCCTGCCCCGTTGTCCCTGAATATTGCATGTAAAGATGAGGGCTGCTTTGAGTTACATTATTCTTCAGTGTCAGGACCCAGTAGAAGGGAAGATAAGGCCAGAACCTGTGTCTGAATCATGAAACCTGTGATTTTTCCTGCTCTTGACAGATTCTAGTCTGAAAACAGTCCATTTGAAAACAGTCCCATACAAAAAAAGGACAATTATCCTTTACCCAGCTGTTTCAAAGGGGCTGAATGCTGTGACCAGTAAGACATTTTTCATTAATAAATGCTTTAGGCCAGGGGTTGGCAACCTACTGCCTGTAGGCTGGATCCAGCCTGTGAAGCCTGGATGTCGGCAACATTTCGGTGGCAAGAGGAATTTTGGGATAGGCCACTGGCATGGAGGTGGTGAGAAGTGATGGCAGCAAGGTCAGAAGCAGAGGCCTGCCTAGGACTGAGCTGTGTTATTGTCCTATCGCTCAAAAAAAGTTGCCGACCTCTTCTCTGAGCATCTTAAGAGTCAGCGTCCTGCGTCCTTAAACTGCCTTTCCCAAATCCAGGATTGACTGTTGGAAAGATGGGTGATCGGGTCTGTGGGAGAAGGGGTTTAATCTCAAACCCAAATGTAAAGCGGTTGTTGCTGACAGATGAATGTTTCCCTTAGTCTGTCCAATCTTATCAGTGGTAAAAACTTATTTTTCATGTGTGCTTGCACCCAAATTTATGCAATTAGGAAGGCAAAGCCCCTAAAACAAATTGTGGGGCTAACAGCGGGTGTTATCTCAGCCATTGCTAGCCCCATGCCCTGGTATAGTGTATTAGAGCAGTGTATTAAGGACAAGGGTTCGGGCACACAAGCAGAGCAGCAGATAGGGCTGGGGAAGAGGATCAGAGTGACACCTGTGGGGTGCGTGGTGTTAATTTGTGGCATGCCTGCCGAAAAGGTTGGACCTGTCTAGATTAACGGAAACCTGCCCTGACTTTTTCTCTTAAAGTAGCTTCCATGAAACAGAACAATTAAATAGCATACTACGGAAATGGCAGAGTCCAGGCAGGAAAAAAACCATCCCGTAACCAAATGCGTATGTCTATCTGCTATAGAATGGAAGTTGAAAATGCCAACTCCTCCTTAATTCAGCTTGTAGCTAAATAAATAACGTCTTGGTGTTAAGGAAGTTGTCCCTGCCGCTTGGGGCTGGAGTCTGATGGGGGAACTGAAGTACTGTGGTGGATGGTTCAGTATGTAATTATAAAAGAGGTGAGCCAGCTGACAGTATACAAAGTTGTAGCAAAGAAATATATCTTCTCTGTCCACTTGTAGATTCAATTCCTCTGCCACAGCGGCCAGTCTTCAATATAAGTATTACATTCACTGAAAGGTCACGGTGCAGTGGGATGTAATTGTTAAGTTTGACTTGCAGCATGCCATGTCATTTTAATGACTTACTCTTCCTTATCCTTCCCAGTAAGTAGAATCCTCCTGCAAACAAAACCTCTAGCTTCAGCATTGTTGCACTATAGAATAAAATGCCTAATTACAGTTTCAAATTGGATATTAACTGAGATGAAATTTAGCTCAAAATTCACTGCAAAGGCTAGCTTTGTTTTCATGTTAAAATCTAAAGTCATTGAAGGGTCTTGACTTCAGAGAAGGAAGACTTTGTTGTTTCAGAAGCTGGTAATATTACACACTTTACATCCTATTCTATCCCTGCCCTAAATTGTTACCTGCTGAGATGCACCTTGAACTAAGTCATGTGTCGTCCCGT